TAGAATTTATGATTTTTGTTTTTCTTGTTATATATTGATGGTTTGTCATAAATTTTATAATGAATCAAATATAAAGCTATTATAAAATTTTAATTATCCAAAAATTGCTATTAGAATATTTTTATCTATCAAACTCTTTAAATCTCTATATTAAAAAGTTCTAAAATTTTAATTCATTTATACATATCATCCATTCTAATTTCTTAATTTTCACATTTAATTTTACACATTAAATTTCGAATTGCTTTCATTAAACTTAATTCATCTTCACTTAATTCTGAAACAAACTCTTTTTATTTTTAGATTACAAAATCTAAAAATAATATTAAAAATTATACCTTCATATCTTTTATTATTTTATGTTGATATTTCATACCAATCATACCTAAAATTATTTTATTTTCCATTTTAAAATTACTTTACCTCCATAACATTAATATTATAATCATCTAACATTAAATTAAGTTTTTTTAGATTTTTAGCACTTGCAATAATTGTAGTTGAATTAGATTAATGTAAATTACTTAATATTTAACATATATAGCAATATTTTTTATTTATTGATAAATCAAGATTATCAATTACAATTAATGTTGGTTTAAGTTTTGTAAAAAGAATTAATTCATTCATGTTAGGAGCTTTAAATAATTATACTGCCTATTCATATGTTAAAACTTCTGATTAAATATCAATATAAATGGCTTGTTTCTTTTGTTTTAACGATTGATTAATCATGAATTATAAGAAAGTTGAAATTCCATCTGAATGTATTCCATAATATAAATGATATGAGTGATCTTATAAATTATTTTTTTATATCAATTCATCTAATTTGTATTCAATAGGATATTATTTTTAGAATGCATTTTATAATTATTCTTCAAAATCATCAAATTTGTGAATAAATTCATCATAAATAATCATTCCTATTAAGACGACCAAAAATATATCTAAAAGAAATAGCTTTTTGGTAGGGTTGAGTTTTGTAAGTTGAATAATTAAAGATAATGCTAGAGTAATTCCTATTGTTATAATTATATACATTTATTAATATGAAAAGCATTTTCTAATAATATTTTTACAAATATATGGGTAATGAAGTAATAAAACAAATATGAATAGAGGGATTTATTTAATTGTGAATAAATTTAAATATATTTAAATCTTTTTATTATGGGTAAGAATTACAGAAATAGATCAAAGACATCAGACACACCAAGAAAGCCTTTCGAAAAGGAACGTCTTGACAATGAGTAATTTTAATAATGATTAATTTTTAGATTACAAATTATTGGTAAGTATGGATTAAAGAACAAAAGAGAAGTATGGAGAGTCTAACTTACATTAGCTAGAATTAGAAAGGCTGCAAGAGAATTATTAACACTTGACCCAAAGGATCCAAGAAGATTATTTGAAGGAGAAGCATTAATTAGAAGAATGGTTAGATATGGTTTGTTATCTGAACAAGAAAGAAAGTTAGATTATGTACTTGGTTTAACAACTTAAAAAATGATGGAAAGAAGACTTTAAACTTTTGTATTCAAAAGTAATTAAGCATCATCAATTCATCATGCCAGAACTTTAATTAGATAGCGACACTTTAGGTATTTTTATTCAATCTATTTACTTATTAGAGTTGGAAAAAGATTAGTCAATTCTCCATCCTTCTTAGTCAGAGTTGAATCTGAAAAATTGGTTGATTTTGCTGTCACATCACCATTTGGTTAAGGAAGAGAAGGAAGAAGAAAGAGAAAGAATGCTAAGAGAGCAAAAAAAGAAGAATGAAAATTATATTTTAGCATAAGTACAATATTATAAATATACTCTGTTTCCATTTTATGTTTTACAATTAACAAAAATATATTTAATAATTACTTTCTCTATCTAAATCAAATTAACTTTCAAGTTTTATCTAATAAAATATCTATCAGATTAGTATCCATAAAAAAACTAATAATTTAAATAATAAAAGTAATCAATCTTCTTTGTTATTTCAATGTTTATTTTTTCATTAGATTAGATACTTAATAGTTATTATTAGTAAATCAATCAAATTAAGATTTTTTATTGAAAAACATCCCTTAGATATTTTAAATCATTCAAATTTTGGTTTATCATAGTCACGATACTTTGAAATTAAGCTTTTTCTAATCATAACCAATTATAAATAGATCTAACATCTTAAATTTGTCACTTTATTCTTTAATTTAATTTTGACCATCTAATCATAAAAATTTGTTTTATCAAGCAATAAATTCAGATAATTTTTATTTTATTCTTGATTAGATTTAATTATCTTAATTTTATTTTGAATAAAAGAAATATCTATTTAATTTCTTAATTTTAATAGATAAAATTAGTATAATAACAGAAATATCATAGAAAAATTCATTTGCATATATTTTCAATAAATCAAGAAAATATTTGAATAAAATTTATATTTAAATGATAAATTTCTTATAATATAATTCATTTTCTTAAAGGAATTTTTTTATAATTATCGTTAAATGTGTTTGTAAATTCTTTCTTTTTTACTAATCTTTCTTAATTTGCTTATTATAAATCTGGAACAACATGCTGTACTTTATCTGTCACTTCAACTTTTTATACTTGTGATTAAAATTGAGTTTTATTAGGCTCAAATTTTGAATAAATTTACACTTATGGTTTAACTTATTAATTATGAGATAGATCATAAGTTGATGTTAATTATCTTGTTTCAAACTATATTGTTAAATTTATTTTAATACATAAGGCTGTTAACCATGACCAATTAATAAATGATTCTGTAACCCACGATGGCTGAAAGTTGTTTATTCATAATATTCTTTCTCTGCTTATGTTTCTTATTACTTTGGCATATTAAGTAATGTATTTTATAGACCAAAAGTATCTTTCATTGTACTGTTGGGTATTTTATGTTCATTCTTATATTAAATATAATTGTTTAATGTACTTATTTCATATCCATACCAAAAGTTTCTTCATTATAATTTCCTATTTTCACTCCATATCTATATTTATTAACATTATCTTATATTTTTGTGTAATCTAGATTCATCTATAATACTAATAATTATTAAATTTATTAATTCATTCTAATATCAATATTTGATATTAATAAAGACTAAGATTTATTATCAACAGAGAAGATAAAATGAAGGGTGTTTATCAGAAAGATTTATGAATAATTTTTAATGATTAGAATTAAAGTTATCAAAAATGAAATTTTTTTCATTTTTTTGTCGTAAATTAAGTTTTAGATATTAAGTTGAGATAACTTGATTATGATAATAACCTAGAAGATACTGTAATGTATAAATCCTATATAAAACTACATTCTATCATTTTTAACACTTTAATTTGTTTAGAATTATCTTCTAAAAATTATCTCAAATATGAATAAATTTATATATATAAAATACACTTTAGATTATGCAAAATGATGGAGTTCAACGAATTAGAATTAGTATATTGGCATTTATTGAATAATTATTTTGCCTATGATAGAAAGATAAAACATATAAATTTTATTTCCTTAAGATTAAGTAAAAAGGACTTATAAAGTTTTAAGTCTATTAGATAAGTAAGTAATAAATTACAATTTTATTTTGAATAAGCATTGAAATGGTGTGGCTTATACAAAGGATGAAGAATAGTCTAATTCAAAAAAAATTAAAAAGATTTAACAAGAATCTTAGTAAAAAATAAAGTCTAATATATAAGGTTCTTTTTAAAAAATTAAAAATCTTCATTTCAGTGTTATGAAAGATATAACTCTTTTAATATATAACTGAGAAAAAATAGATATTTCAACAGTCAATAGAGTTCATTAAATTTTACTCTTCCAAAAGAAATGTTTCATTAAAGAAACTAAAAATCAAGATGATGAACAAGCAAGAGGGTAAAAAAATGAATTATAGATAATTATCATATATAAATTTCTTAATATAACTTACTCTAAAGATTATATAGAATGATAATTATGAATAGATTTTGAAATTCATATTAATCATTTATGTTTATGATTGATATGAATTTACATATTTAATGGTAAGATATTTAAAATGATTTAGAATTTTCATGTTATTTATTTGTTAAATTTGGATGAAAATTCTAACATATGAAAATAAATTTTTAAAAATGTATTAATAAAATTGTTAAGGGAACAGTTATAAAGATGAAATATTTCTTGATAATGATGAATTATTTTAAGATGATGAAGAACCAACTATATTTGATATTGTTTATAGAGAAGTGGGGTGTATTTTACTTAAATACACTAATCTTAATCTGATAACTTGTCCAAATACACTTTATTATATAACCTTAAAGTTTGATAATGATGAACCCTAATCATTTCTTTTTCAACCAAACTATATTTTGGTAGAATAATTAGCAGTTAATCCAGCTTTAAAAGAGATTGCTGATTAACTTCAAATAGAAGATTTAATCAATCATAATTAAAATGATTCTGAATATTTTTAAGACTACTACTAACATTTAATAGAAGAAATATTTAAATCTCATTTAAATTAAACTTAAGAAATATTTTTACGATAAGTTGAGCTACTTGAAGAAGAAAGAAAAAAACCTTAAATCGATTAAGAACTTTAATTGATATTTTAAAATAAATAGTTTTAATTTCCATCTAAATTAGAATTTAAAAATGCTGAATTACCTTAAAATATAATTAAATATAAATTGTTTGAATTACTTAGATAATTATAATTTAACTATTTGAATTCTAAAATTAAAGAAAATAAATCCATAAAATTAGAATGTTCAGATACTTCATAACTATTTTCAGGATAAAAAACTCAATCAGAAAGTGTTGATATAAAACCATAGATTTAACCATTAATAATAAGTTCTTTAAATAAAGAGAAAATTAAAATTATTTTAAACTGGTTAATTTAATAAAAGATTGCTATTCCTGAAATTATACTTTGTGCTGAATTGAAGAATAGGGGTAATGGAATGAATTTAACATTTAATCCTAATTAATAGATATTGAATGTATGTGCATTTTATTATGATTCATTTTGTGAAGCTAATCAAAATTAATTAGAAACTAAAAATATTAAGGAAGAGAATATTGAAGAAGCAAAAATTACAAAGAAATCTCATATCGGAAAAATAAAGACTAAAATTACTGAATATTATTTATTGAATAAAATGATAGATTTAGTTGTTCAATAAAAAGAATCTCTAAAAGCAAAAATAATTTAATAGGTGAAATATTCTTAGTTAATAAATTAGATTAAAAAACTATCAAGGGTTTCAGATGCTGATGCTCATTTTAGAATAGTGAAATAATTTATTCAAAAATTGGAAGCAATAATTCTTATATATGATTCAAGTCAAAAAGATATACCAAAGGAATTCAAAAATTAAGTTGAAAAAAAAAATTAACTTTCTTAAGATAACCAAAGTGAAATTGATGATGATGATTAAAATAAACCTATAAAATCTTAAAAAAGATATTATAGATTACTTAAATAAGTTGTAAAATTAATATTGATAGAATCAATTGAATAATAAATACCAATTCCTGAAATTATGACTTGTTTATGGTTTAAAAAACATAAGGAAAAAATAGTAGAAGGTTAATTAATCAATTAAAATTCTGTTCAAATATTACCTTCTAAATAGAGATTGATTCCATTTTTATAAAATGATGAACGATTGAAAATTAAATAATAATAAGTTAAATTGTAAAATCTTTTAGAATTACCTGATACAGCCATCTAGGAATTACAAGATTTTGAAAATTTTCTATCCTAATTTAATATTGATATGATATATGTGAGAGATGTAATACTTATTGAAAAAATACTTATTATCGTTAATGATAAGAAAGAAAGCATCCAACATCAATTAATTTAAGTTATGAGTGAGTATTAAAAAATATAGAAAGTTAAAGATTAATTGAAAGAGAAATTAATATTGCTTCCTAAATTAAGAACAAATAAAACCTAAATTAATGATGAACCTGTTTTAGAAAATATTATAAACATAATAGATAATTTATAATTATATATTGGTTAAATTTAAAAGAGTTAGCCATGCATAATAGCTAAGTAAATAATTAGTTGTCCAAAAAAATTATAATTAACTGCAGAAAATTAATAAAATTAATAATTTGAAAAATTAGATAAAGAAGGATTGAAATTATTTATATTATCTGGATTAATCACTTTAATTGATAATGATATACCTTTACCTGAATTAATATTATATTTAGGAATAAAAAATAAAACGTAAAAATTCAGCCTTTAAATTAATAAGAACTAAAGATTATAGGAATATGTAAAGACATAAATGCAAATTCATAAACTATCTATAACTGATTAAGTAGAAAGTAGATTACTAATTAAAAAAATAAAGATTTAAGAAGGAGAAAACATCCCATTAATTTCTAGTAAAGAGTAAGTATCAGAACCTTAATTAATTATAAGAGCTTTGAAACTAATTTCTAATTCTGAGATGACAATATAGTTATCAGAAATATGGTAGAAACCTTCAGTGTTAAATTTAAAAAATCAGGTTTATAAAAATTGCTTGAAGAAAAATAAAAATGATACTACAATAGGATAAATAAAAAATTTATTTTATAAAATTGATATTAAATATGAATTATTGAATAATAATTAATAATGATAATTTCAAAATATAAATGGAATAATCTTGAATTTGGCTATTGAACAATACTCTTACCATAATTTACCATATTTTTCTCTACAACGCTTATCATCTCTTGTTGCCCTATGGGTCAAAAGGCAAAACAAACTTAAAGGTAAAACATAATTGTTAAAGGCTTCGAATTCTCCACACATAGCAATAGAAAAATAAACTAAAATCTCTCCTGTATAGTTGAGATGTCTACCAATACCCCACCATCCACTAATTAATAATTTATTCTATAGAGTTTAAGGTTTTTTATTCCAAATTATTGCTTTATCACCTTGTCTTCTATATCTATCTTTTTACCAATTTGAATCTCTATACATGTACAATGAAATAAAATGCAACAAAGTAATGAACAACAGATATATACCAGAACTATTCTATACAAAGTCACCTAAGTACCATCCACCAATACAATATAGATAAGGTAAATAAACAATGTCTCCCCAAACTAACATAAATCCAAAATTTTCAGCAATAATATCCCATGTTGATAACATAAAATCTTCTCTAATATAATGTGTGATAAGCCACATAAACCAAAAAACTTAAAACAAAATCATATTTGTCGATAATAGAGAATAAGTATTGTATTAGTATTCGGCGAATGATAACAAGAATATTTATAATCCAATCAATGATGGTTCATAAAAATACATTTTTATGTCAACATCTAAGATTCTAGGATTCTATTCTGATCCAAACCACCAATCATTAAATAATTGAGGAGTCCAAGTTTGAATATGTGGCTTATAATGCGTACTAATTTTTCCTTTTATTAATAAAATAAAAGAGAACACAAAAGCCAAAATATTTGAGGCAATAAAAAATGACCAAAAATATTCAATCAATGGAATTAATGTAAAATTAAAAAAAGTCTTACCTATTATTATAAGTATGAGTGTCAAAAGGTACGTATTCAATCCATTTATCTTATACATCAAAACCTTTCCTTTTGGGTCAGGAAAACCTTTAAAGTTTGTGCCTGGTAATAGTTTTGTGGCTGCAAACATATAAATGAAGTAGACAATTTGACATTTAAGTGCAAAACAGACAGAATTGGATGTGACATCTTAAATTATCCCAAATGTGCGATTATTATCTTACATTAATATGATATTTTTTTTGAGAATATTATTAAAATTTCTGGTATATAAGGAAATAGAACGTCATAATTAATAATTATTAGATATAAGTAAGGGTGTTTAATAATTCTTTAAATGAAAGTTGCATAGAAAGGATGAAAATAGAAAAGCCTTTATTAGTGATTGTCGGATAATGAAATAAATAATATATATTATATAAAATTTAAAATGGCTGAAGCTACACCAGAAATAACTCTTTAAGTGTATGTATAAGCATTAGAAAATTTATAAAATGCATATGAAATCCTTCATACACCTTATCCCAATTTTATGGTTGAGAGTACTAAAATGATGGTGTCTCCTGAATATCCAGTTGAAATAAGATTAAAGATTGGTATACTTTTAAAGGGGGTTCTGATAGAATAATGGGAATCAATATAGCCATCACGTAAAGTGATACGCGAACTCTTATTAAATGGACTAGTTATGAATGTATCAAATATGCCAATAATTGAATTGATTGTAATTAAATTAAAAAATATTTTAGTCTTCCATAATAGTGTAAATAATATCTATTGATCCAAGTCATATTTGGCCAAATCCATTAATTGAATTGTTAAATTGGATGGATGATTTTAATGCTATAGAATCAAGTCTGGAACTATTTTTGCAATTATTTGGAAGATTAAGCGAAACTAATGGTGAACAGCAAACATTATGTAAAGAGATAGTTCCATCAGTTCTTGAGAAAGGTTTCAGTATATTTGCCTAACCAGAATTAAATGAGAAATTAAGAGAGAAAATACTTTTATTAGTTTATTTAGTATTTAGATCAATCTCATTTGCAGATGGAACTGATAACTCTTTTGTTAACAAATGCTTAGATTCAACTTTTTAAATATGGATGGTATAATGTTTAATATATTATTTTAGTCTTTATTTTTATCAGCTTTATAGACATCTCCAAAATCACATATATTCATCAAGAAATTGGTTTTGAAGATATTGATTGTAGTATTTCGAGATTTTGGAGTATATAGTAGAAAATCATTATCATTATCTTTGATTCCTGTGTGGAAATTCTTTAATTCTATAACTTAATTATATGTAGGCCATATAGTATACTAAATTGAAATAGAAAATATTGATAGTTTATTTTCAGAGGAGGCGAAAGAGCTACCATAAACTAATTAGAGGATTATAAATTTACAAAATGGTATATATTTAGATTTAGAATTTAGATATTGAATATAAATATTTAAATGAAGATGATGATTATGATAATCATATTGAGGGTCTTTGTGCTTATTCAATTGAATTAATTACTATTTTAGTTACTAAACCTGCTTTATATAATTTAATAAAGTTTGGTACTTTTCCACTTTTGAACACATTGGCAACATTTTTGATAGCCACGAAAGATTAAGAAAGATAATGGGTTAAAGATCCTAGCTATTTCATTCTTAATGATGAAGAGGAACTACTTCAAAAGAGTGTAAGAACACTTGCCTTGAGATTAATTAATGATATTATAGAGAAATATGGTGATACTTTTGTCTAATAAATTTTAATGGTAGGTGAAAAACTTATATTAAATCGAGATGAAAAAGAATTCATTGAGTTAGCTCAATAAATTATTTCAAAGTTAAACTTTTAAGAATTAAAAGGATAATAATCAAAAGAATTTGATTAAGATAGTGTTATGTAATTTATGAAAACCTCTGCTATTTATGTGTGTAATTCATTCTATCTAAAATCATTTATTTAAAAAAGAAAGGAAACTGGATATCTTTTATTAGGCAGTTTCTCAGAAGATATTATTGTTTTTCAATAAAAACATGAAAGCACATTTGATATTAAAAAATGTATGTAGAACATACTTATTGAATTGGAAAGATAAAGTATCAAACTTTATTAATTTCTATTTAGATTCAAGTAGTTTATAGGCGAGAGCTATTTGGAGTACAACTAAATACTCTGAATTGATAAGTCATTAATTTAAAGAACTATTAGTACCCTTTTTTGAATCAGTACTGAATTATTTAAAATCTAAATATCCAATCACATTAAAAATAGTATCAGTAAAAGCATTAGGAAAGTATATATATAGGATAATTATATTAGTTATGCTACAAAAATAAATAAATATAGTATATCTTTTCAATATAAAGCAGAGATAATGGATTTAATATTATAAGTATTACAAGAGGCTAGTTAAGATTAAATTATTTATGTTTTAGAATCAACTATTAATTTAGTTAGATTTTCATCTATTCTAGCCACTACTTTGGCAAAGAATGGATCTAAGATTTTATTGTAATTTTTTAGTATTTTTCATTCTGAATCAGTTGTTATTAAATAATTTAATGAATTGATTATGAGAATATGTCAATGTAAGGATGCTTATCCCCACATTTTTGATGTAATTAAAATATTTATATAAAGGTTTTCTGTCCATTTATAATGGATTGTTTTTAAGTATTTTATGAAGACATGAATAAAATCTAAGATAAAAGTAAAATGAAATAAACAGATATTGGTTTAATGAGTGCAATTATGCATCTGACTTCAATATTTATTAAATATTGTTCTGATAATAAAGCATAAGAAGCATTCATTAATTTATTACCTTCTATGGTTAATTTAATATTGATTAATGAAGATCCTTAATTATAGGTTCATACTAGTTAATGTTTAAAAAACTTTATTATAATAGAAACAGGATAAATTCTTAAAATGTAATATTTTAATAATCAATAATTTAAGGAATCTTGTATAAGATGTAATGAAGGTGAATCTTAAATTATTAGAAGTACCACAAAATTCTGCTAATGAATCAGCTTCATTATTTGCTGGAAATTTAGTGATGATTACAATAAACAATTTATTAGATGGCAATCCAGATATTAATTTATTAAAATCTGTTGTCTTTAAAATATATAGATCTAGAATGCCATCTACAGTTTAATCTTTAGTTTTAGTTTATGCTAGAATGATAATTGAAAAACCAAAAGAATCAATCAATTTCCTTACTTCTTGGAGTATTGATAATAGAATGGCATTAAAAGTTCTTATTGATAAATGGTTATTACAATAACCTTTGTTTAGAGGAAAAGGCACAAAAAATGCAACATTTACTGCTCTCATGAAATTATTCTTACTCAAAGATAAAACCTTAGAAAATTTGTTAGTTATAGGTTATAATCCTAGTCATTAAAATATTAATAGTGGTAATATTATTATACTAAATATTAGATGTATATGCTCCTTTTAAAATATTATCCTTATTAATTAGATGTTTAGATAATGAAATTACTCCACATAATTAAAATAATAATGATCTTAAATAAGAGGATGAAAGATTAGAAGTTGAAGATGATGATGATGAAGTTATCAAAAAAGATCAATTCCAAGATTAAGTTGATGTTGAAATTGAAAAAATTAAAGATGATGATGAATAAGATATTGCAGAAAGATTTGCTGTACTTTTTTTATTTAAAATTAAGTCATTGGATCCAAAAGAAAAGAAAGACAAAGGATTAGCAGATCTAGAAACAGGCTCAACTCTATATATGAGTGAATTCTTAGATTTTAATTAAGAAGTAGGAGAAGAATGTGATGAAACTACTGAAGAAGATTTAACTTATCTTAAAGATCCTTGTCTAAATATTAATTTAGTGGTATTTTTTTAATAATACACCTCAAGGATGCCCTTAAAGAATTTTTCTAAAATTTAATAAGAAATGATCCAGATTATTTAAAATTCTGTCTTAAAAAGTTGCTTAAAGAAGATATCAATCTTTTATAGAAACATATCAAGCTTAATTTCTGATTAATTTGAATATTAATAAAAAATTGTTTATATTTACATACATCATTATTCTTCAGATAATATTCTATCTATAAACTATTTAGATTAAGTTTATTTTATTTTCTCACTCAATAAATCTGATTATTTTTCAACTTTCTCAATTAAATAAGTAACAAACTTTTTCTTGAATAATCTTTACTTTTTAAATTTCTCAAACTCTTAATTTGGTTCTCTTTCAAATTAAGGTTTATCCATAGATAAATATTAACTTGCTTTCTCCATTATATTATCAAGTGAACAAAACTTCTCTTTCAATATGTGTTTCTCTTTTTTGAAATTGTTATCAACAATATCACATTATTTTAAGAATTTATTAAACTCTATCTCTGTTTTAATACTTGTTTAAGTTTTTAGAGTTCTACTAACACTTGTCTAAGGTCTTGTTGTCCTTGAAACTTTACTTAAATTCTCCATAAAATGACTTTTTGTAGGTTAATATGGTTAGTTTTTCCTTTTAAAATCTTCTTAAGATAAACCAGTAGCTTAATTTTCTGTTGATACAAAAAATTTATGATATTATGAATCCTATGCTTAATTAACTCTTTTCATAGTTGTCATCTTTACTTTACTTTTAAAAAAATCAGGATCAAATTAATCAATTCTTGTTTCTTTAAAAATCTTGACTAACTCTCTATTTTATTTTAACTCTTCTTATCTCATAATTTCTAATAATTATTCTTATGTAATTCTTTTTTAAACTATGTTTCTCCATCTTTCCATTTCATCCCATTAATCTTCCTTAAACGTTTATTCATCTATAATTAAGTTTCAAATTTACTATTTTAAATATCTAAAACTGTACAAGCATTTATATTTTTATCTTCACAAAGTTTTTTCATAAAAAAATTAACTTATTCCTGATCCTCTAATTCAATACTCTAATATCCTTTATGTTTTCCTATACTTTTTGTGGCATCTTTTTAGTTTTTTAATTATGTCTTTACTTCTTTAAGCTATATTTCATTTTTTTATATACATTTTGCTTCAGATTTTACCGTTTGTAACATTTATACAAATCATCTAGTTAAGCTTATTCTATGTTATCATTCATCATCATTGCCAATTTCTATTAAACAGATACTGGTTTTTTCTTCCAATTCTTTGATCTTTTTGGGATCACCTAAAAATTTAGTAAGTTCTCTAATTATTCTTTATCAAGAACTCTTTACATGATTTCTACAACTTCAGGTTATAATTCGTAATTTGCTTAATATTCCTTATTACCTTCTTAAGCTTTCAATTTCACTTATAATTGAGTGTTAGCAAAGGTTTGTTTTGGCAATGTTTTAACTCCAGTTCGTTCTACAGGAAATTAAAACTTTACTTTTTAGATCTGCATATTTTTTCTAAATAAACATGATCATATTTTTGTCACGATAATCATTGAAATTAGCATCATAATACCTTAAAGGATTTTATTAAATTGTTTTTGTAACTATAAATCCTGCTACTGCTTCATTACTCATTATTTATTTTTAATGACTTTTATATATAATTTAATAAGTTATGGTATAGTTTTTGGAGCAATATTCAATCAACTGCCATAAATTTATAAGATATATAAAAGTAAAAGCATCTATGGGATATCATTTTCATCTATATACACAGAAGTATTAAAAAAACTAAATAGACTCTAATGTTAGTATTTAATGTTGCTTACAATATGCATGAAGGAACAAATTTCCTACTATATGGTGAAAATGTTATATTGTATATCGAATACATAATTGTCTTAATATAATATGGTTATTATAGCGAATCATAGAGAGATTACAAAAGAAAATTAAGTTTTTTAGGAATAATTAGCTTGTTATTTTTATTTTAGATTGTACCTCCAATCATATTCAAGCTTAGCATATATATTAACATGATTTTATGTATAGGACTTCTGGATATTTTAGTGTTTTTTTCAAAATGGCCTTAAATAAAAATGAATTACTAGAGATAATCTACTGGATAGCTGTCATTTTTAACGCATTTATAGAATTAAGCAGGGGCAATTCCAAGAGCATTATCAATATTTGCAGAATCTAATAATTATTTATTATATGTATGTATTTATGTTGAATTAGATAGTGTTTGGTGATATTGGATAATGTTTTGGTATCTTTAATAACTTTTTAATTTTTATTTTATTGGAGCAAATAAGACATAAAATAGAAATAATGATATTAGAATGTTAGATAATAATATTATTAATTTTATATAAAATATAAAAAGAATTAAAGAATAAACCATTGATAAAATTTATTTGATATATTTCATTTTAATGCTTGTAATGTAAATTCTTTATCTCCTTAAACTGCTAAAATAAATTATCCATGGATTTTAGATTGATAAGTTGTAGGCATAATATAATATCCATTTTTAGTTGGTTAAAGATCAAATTCTTCTTGAATTTCATTGATAGGTAAGAAATTAGGAATTCTTACAATTTATTAGGTTGTTATTTTATTTTCTGATTTTTCAATTAAATAAACTCCAATCATACCTCCTACAGTATTCTTAGTTTTTGATTTCCAATTCTTTTCTGCAATACAAAGAGTGATGGTAATATGAATAGGTTCAAAAAACTATAATGAATATTTAGGATTCATTGTCCATGTTCTTTTACTTGTATCTTTCTCATATGGATCTTCATATAAATGACAACCACCATCTGAAATGTCTTATTCCCATTTACCAATATGAACTTAATTTTTAGTTTCATCTAATTTAGTTAATTCAACTTCTTGATTAGAATAAACTAATTTAATAATATAATTATATTACTTGTTAATTTATAATTTGCAAATCTATCTTCCTAATCCAAAGATGGAATAATAATGAAAGGACCTTCAGTTGGATTAAAATGAAAATATAATGCTGCAACATCTTCATGAAAATAAGTAGATTATTTAAATTTTTCATTTGATCCTATCAACAGTTTTCTTTAAATTCCAACCATTTTAGGAGCTTCTAATTATTATTGAGTCTGCTTTAAAAGTCTCACTAAATCTATAAAAAATTAAATAAAATTAATTTACTTGTTCCTCCTCCTTTTTATTATTTAATAATGTTTAATGAATTTGTAGGGGCTTTATCAAATCTACAAATTGTCATTCCAATCTTTGTACCTTTAGCTCTTTTAACTTATCCTTATCTTCTCAAAATAATTTTAAGATGAGTGCTAACAGATAAATTTAAAAAGTATTATGGATTCTTACACCAATTAGGATTTTCTTTTCCATTATCATATTTTCTTTTACCACCAGCAGATGTTTCATTCCAACTACCTTCTTATTAAATTTCTAATGTTTCTGACATTTCAGCAACATCTATTCTATCAGAACTAAATATTCTTAAAATAAAATTTCTTTTATCCTCCTTTCTTGTTTCATTTACAATCATATTAGGAATTACCATATAATTACCAAAACTTTTACCTTCAAAATTCTTTAAAATTAAATATTAAGTTATTTCTCTTTAAGCTGCCATATCTCCTTTTGGATTCATATCAATAATAATATCTTAATTTGGTGGTCTTTCCCAAATTCTACTTAATCTTGCTTTATTTGCTATGACCATCAAATTACAAGCAACATAAGGTTATTATGTTATTTTTTCATCTTCTAACATCAAAGATAAATATAATTTAGTCTCTTTATGAACTTTTATTTTATATTAAGGATTATTAAACCATTTTTCATCTGTATCAACTTAAACATATTCTGATAAACCTTCTGATGGCATTTTTAATGGACATACTCCTCCTAATGTTTTTCCAAACCAGTTTCCTTGAATAGCATATTACTACCAACTCTCAGGAAATACCTTACAAATATAAAACTTATTAAAATGTTAATGCCAATCTTAATAAGACATCCACCATGTTCCATCACTTTTCTTTGATTTAAATACTAATTTTAATTCTTCTCTTAAATTTCTATGTTTGTCCCATTCTTCAGAATCATCAGAAAATGCTCCATTCCATCCACCTTCTGGTCCCCAAACATTTCTTATTCTCATTAATCTTAATTTTTCTTTAGGAAATTCTCTAACATCTACTATTCCATAATGATGATTTTCCAATATTCCATGAGTACCTGTGTCTGCATTTTTTGTTCCTTTAGTTTCATTATGATTCATACAACCCATAAAAAATTATAATTTATGTGTTTACAATAAAACTTACCATAATTAATCGTTTTCTATCATTTTATTTAATTAAGGATCTCTTAAAGAATTGATTTCAGCTATTCCTCCTGTTAAATCTACCAAACCTTCTCCAATATGTCCATCGCAAATTGTTTCATAATTTCCATGTAATTTACAATAAGCCTTTTCCATCAAAGGCAACCAAAATTCAGATGGATTTGCACACTGTGTAAATAATATTTATTTACTATCTTAATCAAAAGGTAAAAGTGTATCAACTATTACTTATCTCCATTCTCCATTTTTAAAGAATTGAAATGCTACAAAACCACATTCATCAAATGAATCATAATCTAAAATTAATTTTTCAAGTTAAGATATTTATTATTAAGCTTACTATTAAGTTTATTTATTCTATTTTTCATTGTATTTTTTCATTTGTCCTACTATAACAACTGCTCCTACAAACCAAGATTCTCCAAAAGCCCCTTATTTATAATCTCCTTCAAAATCTATAACAAATTTAGCATCTTTTGAAATTTCATGTGGTCTTACCCATTTTACAGATTTGATATCCTTTGCGAATTCTGGAGGTTTTTAAGGATCTTTGTATAGACTGGTATTGTTAATTGGGAAATCTGGATCACTGAATAAAGTTTTGTTTTTTTAACAATTTTATATGATTTCCATTTTTTTAGTTTCAAAAATTTATAGTGGATTCAATTCAATTGGTTGAATTTCTTATTCTTATTCTTCTTCATTTTATTGTAACATTGGATCAATTTGTTTGTTTTATGAACTTAATCATATATGATAACTTACTGTGTTTCAGATTATTCGAATGCATGAGGATCTTCCTCTTGTGTATTTTTCTATTTTAAAAAGGAATCCTCATTCATCATTCTTTATTCTGAGTAATTCATATAACTTTGAATAGATTCATTCTTCTCTATATTATCAGTCATATTAATTTTATTTATTAATATTTAATATAATTCAAAAACTAATAAAATTACAACAAGAAACTTTCCTTTAATTAAATAGTAAACATAATCTCTTTGTTAAATCCATAGCTTCCTTTGACTAAATCATACCTGCTAAAAAAGTCAGAAAGATAATTAGATTTCTAATGATCTTGCAAATAATTTATCAAAATACTAATTCGACTTGAGTTTGAGCAGTATCAATCCAGTTGAGAAACCAACAATTATTACAGTAATCAATCCTAAAAGAAAATCAAAAAACATAGCAAACGTAGTGTATTCCTTTCTGAAATATCTTAAACCTATATAACGTATAATTAAATCTATCATCCATAATCCTAATCTAAATGGAAGCAAGAGATATAAAAACCATATGGCAATTAATTCTTCTTTCAAATTATGGAAAGTTTACCTTAAGTAAATTAAGTCCTGTAGTGTTATGATATTCATTTTACACAGTATCTTGTTTCAAGATTAATAGGTTATATAAAATAGAATCCATACAAACTTGTAATAAAAATAATGTTAGCAATATTAAACTAACAAAAAATGACCAAGTTGGTGCTCCTTCTGCCATTTTTACAGCTGTATCTATCAAAAAATGATTACTAAATTCATCTATATATAATCTATTATAAAACACTTTCAAGATCTAAATTTAAATCAATTATTTATTTTATTATATATTTCTTTGCAAAATTTCCATTTAATAAACTAGCTCTATTTATCAATCTAAATCCTCTAATATTAAAAGGGAAAAGATCATAATAATTTTCCAAATGATCCAATCTTCCCAAAATACCTGGTTCAACTGTTTTAAGTTGAATCTTTCCCGCTAATTTAGCAATTAAATTTTTAAAATCCTCTTCCTCTTATCATCAGGTACTCTATCCTAATCAAACTATTGCATCTCAATTTAACTCATTTTTAAAGTATTATATAAATTATATAAATCAATGTTTAATGTGAAACTCTGGAGTCCTTGTTGAAAATGATCGAATTCTTGTTTTGAATTAAGATTATTGAACGCTTTTCTTATTCGACGATTAATTTACTTTAAATAAACTAAACTATTACATTATGACAAATCGCACAAAGGTTTTAAAGGTTTTAATTTTGTTGGTAATATTGATTTTTTAGTTATTGAAGTAGTTGCTATTGATATATTATTTTCATTCCCTAAATTTGTTGTAATCATTTTTTTTTTATTTAATTTCTTTTTAATATGTTATGTCTCATCACAAGATTCGCAAGATTCAGAAGCTGAAATATCTAAGCATTAATTCAGTTATAGAGGTTATAATTGTTTATTTGATATTAAAAGAATTGCTTAACATAGATTTTCACCAATCTACTTCAAATTTGTGATAGTAAAATCTTTAAGATTTTCTGCCTAATCAGAAATTCTTACTTAATATATACAATTCACATTTAATAATTCACTAAAATATAAATTATAAAATACCCTAAAGCAAATGGTAATGTTTTTTCCATTTTATTGGATTTACCAAATTTACTTTATTCTAAATTAGTATATTTGCAGATTTAAGAAAATGCTGTAATAAATTATGGATTGTCATCATATCTTCCCACAAATGAAATTCCGTATCTAAAATGATAGAAATTAGAGCATACTTTTTGTAAGTTTGATGTAAATCTAGAGCTAAAAATAAGTGATTTGTTTTTTTTAAAATTGCTTTAACATGTTAAGCACTTGGAACTTATTTATTAACTTTATTCCATTTTTAATTGATATCTATTCCTTAGAGATTGGTTTTTGTATTTCCATGAATGACGCCATCAGGATTCATCATTGGTAAGATTTTGAAATAAAAGTTATCTCTTAATTGTTTACTTTAATCACTCATGAGGAATGAAATGATTCCTTCAGCTACATAGGAAGTAACAACTTATGATGGATGTTATCTAGCAATGATTATAATCAATGGTTTGCTTGAATCACCAATAGTTAATATTGGATATTGGTTACCTGAATTGAAGGATAGAGCCTTTAATTTTAGATGTGTTCTTTTATATTAAATATAGATTTATACTAATTGGTTAATGGTTTTAAAAAGGATTGAAGATTAGTTATTCCATAGGGTGGGAAAGGAGCAAAATAAATGGTTTCATCTTTTTCAAATAGGTAACTAAATGATAATGTATAGTAATAATCTGATTTTTTTTAGTATTGATTTTTGTAGTATGAAACATTTTCACCACCTCTATACCATCCAGTTCTAGAAGTATAAATGTAAGGATTAACACTTAATTGAGAAGCTTATTTACTTAAATTGACAATATTCAATTAAAGCATCATTCTCTCTGGTGTTCTTACACTAAAAAAATACCATCTGGTGCAACCATTTGTTTAAGTGTCATTATGTAAAATTAAATTATATTTTTTATCAGCAACTTTATATACTGTATAAAGATTGCCACATTCAAAATTTGAATTAAAATGAATAGGACCTTTTGTAAATAATTACGTTCCATGATATTATGGGGATGCAAAATTTTAGGTTTTAGCAGTTTGAGTAATAAATCTTTAATAAATTAATGGAGAATTAGCATGTAATTCATGTAAAGTTTTAAAGCAAGTTGGTTCTTTGGAGAAGAAATTAATATCACAACAATCGAAGTTAAGTATATTTTTGGGAGGTTTGAAAAGATTATGAAAAAATGGCATGGGACTATTTAGAAAATATAATACGCAATTTCTCCAGGATAATCAAATTTAGGTCTAATAAATTCAAAAGGTGTTTAAATAATTGGATTGGCAGTTGGTAGCAAATTGTCCATGGAATTATTTATTTATTTTTTCTGTTAATTAAAATTTCTGCAACTTATTATTAGTATAATTGAATATTAATAATATTTCTTTAGAGAATATGTTTTAAAATTATAGATAAAATATTTAAAATAAAAAGAAAGTGAATAAAATGAAGAGAAGAAGAAGTTATAAAATAATTTGAATAAATAAATAAATTAATAATATAAATGAGAAGGCCAAATGAAGTTGAATATAGTAAAACTGCTTTAATGGGTATTTATTAAATACAATATAGCAAATTGGTATGAAGATAGATTGGCTCCATAATAATTACAGAGAGATCCAAATGCTATAAAATCAGTAATAAATATTTGATATTATAAATTAAGTTAAGAGGAGTAGAAGAAGGAATATCTATTCCTGGAGATAATGGATGTTTACTTCCTTTACCTAGAGTGAATCGTAATCCACCATATATTACTAAAGAGATTATTGTACCAGATGACGGATATGTATAATTATATTATAAATTTAATAGAGAGAATTCAGAACTGAGTTTTAGACTAAGTATGATGCCAAGAATATATAAAATATGTAATTAGGAGATTGCAGATCATTGATCAAAACAAATGGTGATAAAGTTAATTTCCCAGAATGTAATTCAACAGTTGCATAAACTGCAGGAGCTAAATCAATTAAATAATTGGATTAAACTAATATGCATCAAATATTAGTAGATAGAGCTGTTCATTAAAATTATACAGATTTTGGTTCCACTTTTAGAAACCATCCAGAATAACATAATAAATTTTATGCAATTACTACTTACTAATAATCATTTTAATAACCAGAAAATAATGTGACAGAAATTCTAACAGATAAAAAATAAAAGCAAAAAGTAGCTGGTTGTAGAGAAAGAGATCCTTTTGATTAAGGATTAAAAATGACCTCTGTTATTACAGGTGAAAAATACAGAGACTGTAATAATCCTTCATCTAAGTTTAGCCATCGATCCAAAAGAAAACACTTAAGTACAAAGACAATGGATTCATTCTGGAGATGCTGGATTAAAAACAGCATAAAATAACTTAAGATAGAGCAGTATGGATAATTATAAAAAAAATGCTAGTTAAGTTCATCCATATGATATTGCTACCAGTCTTCCTTTAGCAGGTATTCTAAAATATATATATTCATAGATGGTGTCTATACTTTACATCCCAAATATACAGATCCAGGCTAATTTAGACATATTAGAAGTGATGTCACTAGAATTATGAATAAACCTATCACAAGAAAATGAGTATCCATTTTATTTTACACATTATTTATTCCTATTTTTTTTTATTTATTTAATCTATCTATTAATTATTAATCTTTATAACTGGGTTTTACATTATTTATAAATTATTTAAAAGGTCTTCCTTTTACTCTAATGATCTACCACTCGATCAAACATAAAAACTATTTATAGCCTAAATTCACTCTAATATTTACCATTTTGGTATTAAACATTTTTAATCTATTAAATGACAATAGCTATCTCAAACCAATTTATTAATAATATTTTTATCTATTTATCTAGATATTTAATATAATTAGTTAATATTAAAAAATTAATTTTCTCTTACTTAAATAAAACTATGATTATTAAGTTAATCTCATAACCTATAACAAAGTATTTTAAATATTCCTAAATTATTAAAGTAAGAATAAGATTAATTAAACTGATTAATTAATTAAATAATTTACTTGATTTAAACATTTAATGTCATATATGAAAAACTCAACGAATTTAGTTTCTATGAAGAAGAGCATAAATATGAAAAAATCTGTTAATAATAGTTTAAATGGTCAATCGGATTCACCAAAGAGCATAAAGACTGAACCATCAAAAGAGGATTTCTATATTTAAATATCTCCGCGTTTAGAAACCAAAATGTTAACTTTTACCAATTAAATAAAAAAACTCAAAGTAATCTAGCATGAGGAGTAAGAAGTACAACAATAAGTTAAATCTCAAAGTTAACCTTCAAAAGAAAAGATAAGAAATATCGTGTAAAAACTCAGGCAAGAATAGCCAAAGAGTCATTTTTATAATGATATGAAGATTTCAAGAAGACTTAAAACTGAACAATGATTATTATATTTCATCTGTTTCTTTTTTATAAACTCACTGGTTAAATTAAATAATGGTTTGTTTTGTTTATTATACAATTGGTTTATATTAATTATTGTTTGCTACAATTTAATACCTATTGATCAAAACTATGACCATAAATAATTAAGCTTATTACATAATTAAATTTGAGCCCATTAACAATGTATATAATTTTAAAATACTATGAATGAAACAAAATAACTTAAATAATAATGAAGAATATTAATAGAAAAATGTTAGTCTCAAGTCAACAACTCAATTAATGTATCGCCTAGAAAATATAGTGAATAACTTTATTTTATAATGTTCATATTGCAGCTTATATATTTTAATATGTCAGTGTAAATCTTTGAATAATTTTTCTAGAAAATTTTGCTTCTGATAATTTTAATTTTTTTTAATAAAAATAAGTTTATGATCTAGTATTTTTCACTATATAAGTTTAATCTTTTATAAAATGAATATAATTAATATAATTAAAACAAAAAAAGAATGTAATATTAAGGCGGGAATTTTACATTAAACAATAATGCTGATTAATGTATTTAATCAAGTCAATAGCGATCTATTGATCTGGATTAATGTCGTTACTATCAAAAAGATGAAAAAGAATACTCTTTATATTTGAATCTAGAAAAAATTCAGGATGAAGCTGACTCTGCATCTGTTGAAAATGAGCTTTATCCACAAAATACTTTTAACAAATATAATAAACTAGAACACAACCTCGAATTTCTATCAGGAAAGGATCATTGATTTTATAATTATTGAGCAGATTAATGTTCATAAGTTTGCTTTCTTAATGAACTTTTTTTAAAATATTTTTAATCATAGAGAAACTCTTATGATTTATAAGATAATTATTATAATCAATCAGTCATGAGCTTCAAGTAATTCTTAATTATAATTGAATTAAATGAATCATTGATGAAGAACAGGATAGTTCCAGAATATGACTACAAAAGTTGCGCAAATTTAACAATTTATTGGAGATTTGTTTTCTAAACTATTATAATTTTTTTAGAGTGAATACTGTAATATTCATTAATCTCATAAATAAAATTTTTTTTTATTTTAATTTAAAAAGATGGATATTAATTTTTAATTTTTTATCATATTCAAATATCAATTTTTACATCTTTTTATTTTTAATTTCTTAAATTTATAATGTCACATCAACTTATGATATGTTTTAGAGACTAAGTATATTATTTATAATTGCTTTTTAAATTAATATTTGTAAGATTTTTAAATCCTATAAAGAATATTATAAAAAGATCATTAATTTATTATTTAAAATTAACAATAATGCAATTAGACCTTAAAATTATTATCATCTTTGCTTCAAATCTTAAACTTAAAATTTTATATAATTTTCTAATTTTAATTTTAAAATTAAGTCTTTATTTGGTATCAATTGGAATAAACTCTTCACAAATTTCTTTTATTAATTTTTATTAGTTTTTTTTATTCACTTACTCCCTATTTATCTTAATTAATAATTAAAAGTTTTATCTATTATTTGACTTTCATTCTATTTATAAGGTCATTTTTCCCTTTTAAAAGATTGTTAACACTCTTATCATCATAATTCTGTGACACATTTAAAAATAATTATTAATATTAATAATACAATATATCAATNTCAATAGCGATCTATTGATCTGGATTAATGTCGTTACTATCAAAAAGATGAAAAAGAATACTCTTTATATTTGAATCTAGAAAAAATTCAGGATGAAGCTGACTCTGCATCTGTTGAAAATGAGCTTTATCCACAAAATACTTTTAACAAATATAATAAACTAGAACACAACCTCGAATTTCTATCAGGAAAGGATCATTGATTTTATAATTATTGAGCAGATTAATGTTCATAAGTTTGCTTTCTTAATGAACTTTTTTTAAAATATTTTTAATCATAGAGAAACTCTTATGATTTATAAGATAATTATTATAATCAATCAGTCATGAGCTTCAAGTAATTCTTAATTATAATTGAATTAAATGAATCATTGATGAAGAACAGGATAGTTCCAGAATATGACTACAAAAGTTGCGCAAATTTAACAATTTATTGGAGATTTGTTTTCTAAACTATTATAATTTTTTTAGAGTGAATACTGTAATATTCATTAATCTCATAAATAAAATTTTTTTTTATTTTAATTTAAAAAGATGGATATTAATTTTTAATTTTTTATCATATTCAAATATCAATTTTTACATCTTTTTATTTTTAATTTCTTAAATTTATAATGTCACATCAACTTATGATATGTTTTAGAGACTAAGTATATTATTTATAATTGCTTTTTAAATTAATATTTGTAAGATTTTTAAATCCTATAAAGAATATTATAAAAAGATCATTAATTTATTATTTAAAATTAACAATAATGCAATTAGACCTTAAAATTATTATCATCTTTGCTTCAAATCTTAAACTTAAAATTTTATATAATTTTCTAATTTTAATTTTAAAATTAAGTCTTTATTTGGTATCAATTGGAATAAACTCTTCACAAATTTCTTTTATTAATTTTTATTAGTTTTTTTTATTCACTTACTCCCTATTTATCTTAATTAATAATTAAAAGTTTTATCTATTATTTGACTTTCATTCTATTTATAAGGTCATTTTTCCCTTTTAAAAGATTGTTAACACTCTTATCATCATAATTCTGTGACACATTTAAAAATAATTATTAATATTAATAATACAATATATCAATAATATTATTTTAATTATTAAATTTTTTTTAAATTAATTTTTTATGAAATTTGTTAATTGATTTTATATGAATTATATTTATAAATTTAACATAAATTAGTATATTCTAGAATTCTTAGATGTGAAAATCTATAATTTAAGCAGAATTCAATTATGACTTAATAAAATTTATAATAAGAATTCTTTGATAAAAATCATAAAAACTCATAACCTTACTATTTAGAAATAAAAGATCAAGTAAATTTAACAAAATGAAGAATTTAAACCTATTCAACTGAAAAAGCTATGAAAAACTTATAAAAAGAAGAGATAAAATATAAGTTTTAGAATTTATTCCTTTGCAGCATTATATTAATTATAAATATAAATTATTTTTTATAACAAAATTATATTATGAAAGAATTTAAGAAATGATTCAAAAAGAAATATTTAAAAGTATTTTTTTTAATAATATTTTAAATGGATTAATAAAAGATGAACCTAATTAAGATTCCTTTTTTGGACGATTTAACGAATAAAGATTTCAAAACATAAAATAAAGGAGCATTAACAATAATAGGAGTAATTGATGCTTCAGGATCTATGTCTAATTGTTGGTAATGGTTGGCAAACTTTTGGAATAAGAGTATTCCAAAAGATAATTTGATTGCTATAACATTCTCAAATCATCCAACTGTATTAAAAGATAATAAAGATCTTTCAACTGATATTAGTGTGCATGGTGGAGGAGGAACTGAAATAGTACCAGCTTTTGTTGAGTTTGAAAAACAATTATAAAATGTTCCTGTTGAAAATAATGTTACTGTAATATTCATTAGTGATGGATAAGATAATTCAGTAAGATCATTAGATACTAGAATGAAATAGTCCCTTAAAGGTAATTTATAAAATCATAGAATAAATTTCATATGTTTAGGAGTTGAAAAAGGATTCCCAACTAATTTATCAATGAATTTAAGAGAATTATATCACAAAGGAGATCCTTAAATACCTGCTATCTATTTAATTGAATATTCAAGTGAATAAGCTTTCTTTAACAAATTTGAAACTATGAAACAATATTTCTATCCTGCTAGAGTTTTGAAGCTTAATCAATTTGTTAATTTATATCCATATGATGAATAAATTACAAAAGAAGTATTTGAAGGGTAATGGTGCGTATTTTATAAGGATGATCTTAGAATAATTAATGATGGATTAAATATTAAATTAGAATGCATTTAAGAAGAATCAATAGATATTGAAGATGTTATCGATATTTTCAGATCTTGGGTTTAAAATTTATAACTTAAAATCCTTTAATAAAAATTATAATTACCTGATTAATGTGAATCATGTTTATCAATTATGAAGAGAATTGTTGGACATATAAATACTAAGTTAGGATTTGACATTTTAAATCTTTCTTTAAATTATATTCCAAATTAGAATAAACCTTTTCATTAAAAAGTTAAAGAAAGTTTTGTTTATAAGTATTGTTCAAAAATATTATATTTTGTTAATGAAATTGAAAGTCTAATTAAAGGAGTTAACCCTAAATAATTGAATGAATTTGAATAAGCCAAGAGATTAATGATTGGTACAATTACAGGTAAACACTTATAAAAAGCTCTTGCTTTAAAAGGAATTACAATTTAAGAATTTTAAACTATAAAACAAGAATTTGTTAATATTATTAAGAATTCATAATTTAATTAACAAAATGAATAAGGTTAAGAAAGGTCTGTTATAACACTTGAAAATTAAAGAGATATTTTAAAAGATCCAATATAAATGGAAGAATCTATGAAATATATAAAATCTCAATATGATTTTGTAGAAACTTTTCCTCTTATAGGGCATGGCATAAAAGTTAAAAGATTTGAAGGATGTTAAGTAAATCCTTGGTTAGTGCATGTATTAAATTTTGCTAAACAAAATAAAATTATCGATTCTAGTTTTTTAATTAAGAATAATTTCTAAGTCTAATTAAATGTTGGAGATCAATAATAAGAAGAAATTAATTGTATTCTTCCTTTATATAATCCAACAGATTAAGATTTATAACCAATTTTAAGATCAAGAATAATTAAGTTACTCATGACTTTTATGGTGTAATAGAATGTAGATACTCTTTATGAAGAATCATATTTAGCATTATTGGCTAATGCTCTATCATATATTTTATAATAACCAGATAGTTAATGGAAATTTGAAATTTTAGAGTTAATTTATAGCACTACTAAAATAGTTTATGCTGGAACTTAACAATTTGAAGATTATTTAAATAAAATTATAAATAATACACCTTAAGCCTTATTGGAAAAAGATTAAGCTTATGAAGATTTCATTTCACTTCCTAAAGTCTTAATATATTTATTTTATGCATTCAGAAGTGGATTAATAGAAGACTTTGAGAAATATATTAATTTTCTAATTCTCTATAATTTTAAGATTATTTATTAAAGTAATCCTGCAATTAAAAATAAATGTATAAAATACTAGTTAGAAGTGGAAGCCGAACTTTAATTAAAAGAATATTTCATAGAAAAATTTAGTGAGTGTCTTTATCTAAAAAGTTTTAGAACTTACTTTGATTAAAATATTTCAAAAGTCTTAAACGAATAATTTGCATAATAAAAATACGTTGTTTAAATTAATAATGATATACTTTATAATTCTGATTTAAAATTTAACTTCAAAATAGTTGAAGGTCTTTATTAATTAGTATTAAAAAAATAATTTGATAAAAATTAATACATATTTTATCTAAATCATGTATTTAATACTGATTACCAAGAGTTATTTACTAAACCAATAGATTTTAAGAGTTATTAATAGATGAATATAATAACTGCCAGTAATAACAAGTTGATTGAACAATTTGCCTATTTGAGAGATCAATTGTAAGATGAATATTTAAAGAAATTTTAAGAGGCTCATATTATTATTGCTCCACTTACAAATTAAGAATTAATTGAAGAATGTAAGAAAAACGGAATAGATTCTTAGAAGATATTTTTAACTTAATCAGGTCTGGGTTTAAATTGCTGTTTCTCTAAATAATGTCCATTCTATTTGAAGGTTTTAAGCCAAGAAGATTTTAAAAAGCATTTAGATAATTGGTAAGGTTTTTATCCGAGAAGATTTCATGAATTTGTTAAATAATAGGTTTAAAATGGTAAAACAAATGATTAAATCTTTGAAAATGCAAAAACTAGATATAATGGATATCCTGAAAAATATGGTGGAACAAAGGATTAATCATATTAATATTTTAAGATTATTAGAGAGTTTTGTGAAAAATTAAAATAATGAAATTTATTTATATTTAATAATATAATTAGTTTGCAATTTAAATGTTTTTTAATTATTATATTTTGAGATGTTCTTTTTGAATACTTTTATCATATGAATAGAAAATATGAAAGATTTGAATTTAAGAGAAAACATGAAAGTTTATAAAAAAAAAGATTTAGACATTAAATTTATGTATTGAATAGTAAAATATAATTAAGTTTATTTTTAAATACTGTTTAATTATGATCAGGGAATTTTTGGATGTACATTATAAACATATGTATATAAAATATTTGATAAATTAATAAATGGAGTAAAATTAATTCTTTGCATTGAAGATACCATTTGTAGATTAAAAAGTGAATTAAGAGACAACAAAAGGGGATACATAAGTAAAAAAAGAGAATGCTTGTTTAACAATAATTGGAGTAATTGATGCATCAGGATCAATGAGCGGATGTTGGGAATGGCTTAGTGATTTTTGGAATTAAAGTATACCAAAAGATAATTTAATAACAATAACTTTTGATACAAGATAAAAGATATCTGCAGATGGAGTGTTATCAAAAAGAATTAAAGATCATGGTGGTGGAGGTACAGAAATAGTCCCAGCATTTTAGACAATGGAAGTTGAATTATAAAAGGTTCCAATATAAAATAATATAACAATCATATTTATAAGTGATGGATAAGATAATAATGTAAGAACAATTGATGAAAGAATGAAAAAACTAAACGGAAATTAATAAAATAGAAATATTAATTTTATATGTTTAGGAGTAGAATCAGGATTCCCAACTAATATTTCAATGAACTTAAGATAATTGTATCATAGAGGAGATCCATAGATCCCTGCTATATATTTGATTGAACATGCTTCTGCATAAGCTTTCTTTAATAAATTTGAAACAATGAAGAAATACTTTTATCCTTCTTAATAATTAAGATTAGATAGAATGATTAATCTTTTTCCTTATGATGAAGATGTCACTGATGAAGTATATGAAGGATAATGGATTATTACTTAAAAGAATTAATTATAAATATTATTAGAAGATAAAGATCCTATCATTTTATATCCAATAGCTGAATCAGATTTATAAGTAGATGATGTTGTTGATTTATTCCGCTCTTGGGTATAAAATTTATAAATTAGAGCAATGAGTGGAACTTAAGGAATCAAAGATAAAGCTGCTGATGCATTAGCTATTATGGAAAGAATGGCTAATAGATTAAGTGATAAATTTAATATGAATGTCTTAAATTTTAATTAAGCTGAAATTGTTGATCCCACATAACCATTTAATATCAGAGCTTAAAGAAATTATGTTTATAAATATGGAAATAAATTATTATTCTTTATTGAAGAAGCTAGATAATTAGCTAAAGGAGTTGATATTAAATAATTAGGAGATTTTGAAGCTGCTAAAAAATTAAACATTGGTACTATCACTGGAAAACATTAATAAAAAGCTTTAGCACTTAAAGGAATCACTGTTGAAGAGTTTAGAAAGATGAGAGATGAATTTTAAGATATTATTCTTAATTGTCATTTCTAAAAAGAAAATGAATAAGGATAAGAAAGATCTGTTGTCAGTCTTGAAACTTAAAGAGATATTGTAGCTAATTCAAAATTAGTTATTGAAGGATTAAAATATATTAAATCTTAATATGATTTTGCTGAAACATTTCCACTTGTTGGTCATGGCTTAAAAGTTAAAAGAAACGATGGATGCTTTGTTAATCCATGGTTGGTTTAAGTTGAAAATTTTGCATAACAAAATAAAGTTATTGATTCTGCTTATTTAATTAAAAATAATTTTAAAGTTGAACTCAATACTGGAGGAGATAAAAAAGAAGAAATTAATTGTATTTTACCATTATTCCCTTCATCAGATTAAGATCTTTAACCTATATTAAGATCTAGAATCATTAAATTGTTACTTACTTTTATGGTTTAACAAAATGTTGATACATTCTATGAAGAAACATATTTAGCTCTATTAGCTAATGCTCTTATTTTTATTTATAAATAACCTAAATCTAAATGGTAAGAAGAAACCATTAATCTAATATATACTACGACAACCATTGTATATTAAGGAACTGAAAAATTTGAAAATTATTTAAAAAAACTTTTAGAAAATCCAGCTTCAGCTTATCTTGAAAAAGAGGAATAATATGAAGATTATGTAGCCACTTCTAAACCTTTTATTTCATTATTCTATTTAATGATGACTAAAAATGTTATTAAAGATTTTGATTCTGAAATTGAAAAATTAATCTTATATCACTTTATTAGAGAATAATTCAAACATTAACAATAATTAACTTATTATCTAAAATTAAAATTAGAAAAATAAGATGAAGAAGGTTTATAAAATTAATTAAAACAAACTTTTGAAAAGCATGTTAGTGTTAGACATTTTAGATAATCCATAACTTAAGAGATAGAGTAAGTTCTATTAAGTAGATTTGAAAATGATAATACTTCTGTTGATTTTAATGAGGATAAATTATATAATAGAGATATGAAACTTACTTTAGATGTTATTGAAACATTTTATGAATAATTTAAAGGAGTTAAATTTGATTAAAAGAAATACATTCATTTAATTTATCATGTCATTAAAACCCCTGAAAAAGATGTCTTTACAACTAAAGTAAATTACTAAAATATCAAAGATATATAAAAAGAATTGTTATAATAAAATAAAGGAGACTTAACAAAAGGAACTTAAGCCACTAAAAATGCTTTAGAAAAAGAGTATACAGTATGGTTCATTTAAAATCATATGATGGTTAAACCTTTAACTTATGAGTAATTACAATAAGAGTGTTAAGAAAAAGGAATTGATGTAAATACTATTGCATATAATGTTAAATCTGGTTTGAGTAGTAATTGTTGTATGGCAAAATAATGTCCATTTTATTTAATAGTGAATGGATTGGATTATAAAAAACATATTTAAACTTGGGGAAGAAAAGTTCCATAAGGATTTCATTAATATGTAAGATAAGAGATTTTGAAAGGTCAAAATCTTGAATAAATTATTTAATCAGCTTCTTAAAAATGGAAGAAATTCCCAAAATTATATTTAGGAAATGAAGATGTGGTTCATTAATACATAAAAATGATTTCAGAATAATTACCTTAAGAATATTAAATAAAGAATTTACCAAATCAACAGCTTCTTCACCATTAAGTTAAATTAACTTTCCCTAAAAAACAAAAGGTTTAGAAATATGGTAATAAAAGAGGTCAACAAAGAGGTGGTAGAGGAAGAGGTGGATAACGAGGTAGAGGAGGTAATAGAGGTAGAGGAGGAAGAGGTTAAAAAAGAGGACCTTGAATATTTAAAATTTATAATCATATTATTTAAAAAATAATAAAATAAGTTTTCATCTAGATTGTTTAATTTCATTTTTTTAATCATATATAATTCGATATTTATATTAATCCGCCTATGTAAAATACTGAAATTATTTAGATTAAAGTATTTCTTGCAAACAAAGCTTTAAAATGGAAATCACTAAATTTATTTAGTCAAGTCAACTCCAAATTTAAATAAACATCTTTTCAACACTTCAGTTAAAATCTTATTTAATACAAGGATAGTAGCAAAAATGATTAAAAGAATTAAAATTCGTAGGAATGCTTTTTCCATTTAAGAAGAATTGGTATAATATTGAANAAAATTAGAAAAATAAGATGAAGAAGGTTTATAAAATTAATTAAAACAAACTTTTGAAAAGCATGTTAGTGTTAGACATTTTAGATAATCCATAACTTAAGAGATAGAGTAAGTTCTATTAAGTAGATTTGAAAATGATAATACTTCTGTTGATTTTAATGAGGATAAATTATATAATAGAGATATGAAACTTACTTTAGATGTTATTGAAACATTTTATGAATAATTTAAAGGAGTTAAATTTGATTAAAAGAAATACATTCATTTAATTTATCATGTCATTAAAACCCCTGAAAAAGATGTCTTTACAACTAAAGTAAATTACTAAAATATCAAAGATATATAAAAAGAATTGTTATAATAAAATAAAGGAGACTTAACAAAAGGAACTTAAGCCACTAAAAATGCTTTAGAAAAAGAGTATACAGTATGGTTCATTTAAAATCATATGATGGTTAAACCTTTAACTTATGAGTAATTACAATAAGAGTGTTAAGAAAAAGGAATTGATGTAAATACTATTGCATATAATGTTAAATCTGGTTTGAGTAGTAATTGTTGTATGGCAAAATAATGTCCATTTTATTTAATAGTGAATGGATTGGATTATAAAAAACATATTTAAACTTGGGGAAGAAAAGTTCCATAAGGATTTCATTAATATGTAAGATAAGAGATTTTGAAAGGTCAAAATCTTGAATAAATTATTTAATCAGCTTCTTAAAAATGGAAGAAATTCCCAAAATTATATTTAGGAAATGAAGATGTGGTTCATTAATACATAAAAATGATTTCAGAATAATTACCTTAAGAATATTAAATAAAGAATTTACCAAATCAACAGCTTCTTCACCATTAAGTTAAATTAACTTTCCCTAAAAAACAAAAGGTTTAGAAATATGGTAATAAAAGAGGTCAACAAAGAGGTGGTAGAGGAAGAGGTGGATAACGAGGTAGAGGAGGTAATAGAGGTAGAGGAGGAAGAGGTTAAAAAAGAGGACCTTGAATATTTAAAATTTATAATCATATTATTTAAAAAATAATAAAATAAGTTTTCATCTAGATTGTTTAATTTCATTTTTTTAATCATATATAATTCGATATTTATATTAATCCGCCTATGTAAAATACTGAAATTATTTAGATTAAAGTATTTCTTGCAAACAAAGCTTTAAAATGGAAATCACTAAATTTATTTAGTCAAGTCAACTCCAAATTTAAATAAACATCTTTTCAACACTTCAGTTAAAATCTTATTTAATACAAGGATAGTAGCAAAAATGATTAAAAGAATTAAAATTCGTAGGAATGCTTTTTCCATTTAAGAAGAATTGGTATAATATTGAATATTAAACAAGAATTTGATAAAAATTGAAAAGAATAATAATTATTTGATAAAAATTTAATTTGATACATTAAAAAAATTTTCATTCATTAACTTATCAAAATTAAATCGGACTATTATGATGATTGTTAAACAGTTTGATTATTTTCTTGATCGGCATATAATGTTGGGAAACATAGTTTAGTGTGTCTTTTACAATAATCATGAGTAAATGGAGACACAGGAAATCCATATTTGTTCATTCTATCTTCCATTTCACTTAATCTTTAAGTAAATTCCCAAAATTATTCATTTTATTTAGAATTAGGATTCCATAATCTAATTTATATAATTAATTAAATTACGTATCACCTAAAATAGATGATCTTAAAAACATTTTCTAAAAATGAGTATTTTAATTATTAGTTTCTCCCCATAAAGGAGCTTCACCTCCTAAAATATTTCCTTAAAATCCATCTGGTGGTTATGGTGACCATTTATAAAAATCTTTCCATGTTTAATAAGCATCATATGCATTACCAAAAGCATTTCCAACTCCAACATCCAAATATAAAGGATGATAATCACTTAAAATAAAATCATTTTTTCTGTTTTTTACATCAACAAGTTATGAAGTTAATCCCCACCAATGAATGATATCATTATCTTCAGCAGGAAGTTAATCATTTTTATTATACCAATAAGCAACTCTCTTAGATGATTTAACTTAATTTTTCCATATATCTTTTTATCTTTATCTATAATAAACTTAAAGATCAAAATAAGTTGCTATTCCATGTTCTGTCATAAATTCTTTAATTGATGGTCTTTAATCAAAACAGGAATTACTAGCTTCATCCCCACCAAAATGAATAAATTAAACTTTATCAAACATATCATTTAAATCTTGCATAACAGATTTTAAGACTTCATAAGTTAAATCTAATGTAGGATCGAATTGTCCATATTATTTAATAGTACTTCCACAAGTTATAATCATTTCTGCTAATTCTGGAGATCTTCCCCAAGATTAAGCATGTGCAGGAGAATCTATTTCAGGAATTATTTAAACTCCTCTTATTGATGCATACTCAATTATATAAGATACATCAGATTTTGTAAAATAAGCAGTTTCCCAATGTTTTGATGTATTTGTAATTTAACTATAATTTGTTAATAAAAGAGGAAAACTTTCATCATCTGTAATATGCCAATGTAAAACATTCATCTTATTTATTACTAATGCATCAATCGTTCTTTCTAAAGTCTTTAATGGTAGAAAATGTCTAGCAGTGTCTACCATTACACCTCTATATACAAAAGCAGGTTCATCATAAATTTTCAAAGGTAACTTTATAATATTAATATTAATCTTACATTATCTACTTCATTATTTTCAGTGAGTTAATTTACTGTATCAATAGCTCTTGCCAAACCCCAATGATTTAGAGCATTAATATTTATATTCAACTTTTCATCAATCTCTAATGTATAAGCTTCTTGCTTAGTATCATTAACCCAATATAGTTATTCATCACTTTCTAAATTAATATTAAATTTTAATTATCCTTCTACATTTAGATTCTTTTTCTAAATGGACTCTTCAAATTTACAATCAGAATTTAATGTCATTAATTTATGATAATGACGTAATAATTATAATACATGATCAGGAAAATTTTATTCTGATGAGAACTTTATTGCACATCTCTATAAAATTTTAACTTTCTTATCTCCCTTTTCAAATTCTTTGGGCATTGGCATTAGAGTAAAAGCAACCAAAAAAAGAAATTGAATGTATAACAATGATGTCAATTTCATTAAAAATATTTAATACTTAATAATTAATTTATAATCAATAATCTCATCACTACTTAACAAGAATTATTTTTTTTAATTCTACAAGTTTGACTTTAAATAATTAACAATTTCCACTTTAGATATCAAAAATCAGAGATTTCCTAATTTTTTGATTATAAATTTTGATTTTAAATTAATTTATTATCATTACATGAAGCTCAGCGATCACAATTCAAATGATTATAAATTTCCAGGAAATCATTCATCCATGTTAAGTAACACATATTGAATAGCTAGATTCAAGTAGAATATCTGAAATATGCAATCCCTTTCACACTTACTTAATTGCAGGATAAATCATTCCAAAAAAATTATCCCCTTAAGACATTCAAGACATTCCTTTTGAAGAATAAAGTAATGAATATATTAATTCACCTCAAATCGATTCATAAAAACATATTGTACCTTCTCTAAATCAAAAAGAGTATACAGTAATTATAATTTATTAAACATAGCCTACATCCGAATAAATTAGAGGAAAATAAGAATTTGAATAATAAGACAATGATTAAAGATAGTTACATTAGTTAATCATAATTAAAACTTTAGTTAATTCATTTTTAGAAAAACTTAAAAGAAAAGCATATGTTTTTCCAAAGTCCATTAATAAAGATTTTATTTCGGTTACCTAAGAACGTTACTTGAAAGACGTAAAACTTAAGTCTTAAGATAGAGAAGATAATAAAAGAAGCTTGTTTTATAAGCTTCCTATTATTCCTCCTTAAGGTACCTTTGTATTAGTTTGGGAATTAGTATTATTTCTTCAAATAATGTTAATTACTTTTTGGGGACCATTTTTGGTCTCATTTAAACCAGACTCAAACACAATGATTGTAGTTTTTGAGAATTTCTTAAGATATATAGGTATAATTGATATCTTAATCAAAACAAATAAAAGTCTTCTGGTTTAAGGATCTATTTTAGAAAATAGAAGATTAATATTAATTTATTATGTAAAAACCGATTTAACATTTGATTTAATCTCAATTCTAATTTTATTTGTAAATGATTCTAATTACTCAAATAACATTGAAGCAATTTCTGTTGTTTTAGCTGTGATATAAGTTTATATAACAATTACAAGATTGAGACATTTTTTAGAAAAATTATAGGAGACATTTGATGAATATTAAAATTTTTTTGAATTAACTAAAGTTTTATTAATAATATTTATTTTTGCTCATATTACAGCTTGTATATGGCAAAAAATAGCTTTATTAACTGAAGAAATAGGTTATAATACTTGGATGTCTTTGATGACTATGAATTATGATACAATTTGGATTAGATACAATTATTCATTTTATTGGTCAACTATGACTATGGTAACAGTAGGATATGGAGATATTACTCCTTAAAATCCTTATGAAATGCTTTTTTGTAATTTAACAATGATTGTATCAAGTGCTATATTTGGTTATTCTCTAAATTCTATTGGTATGATACTTCAAAATATCAGTATTAGAGTTTAAAAATATAAGTAATTTTTAAATCATATTTTGATTTTAGAAAATTTTCAGTATAAATGAATAGATATATGAATTAAAATTCAGTGAATTAATAATTACAGAGTAAAGTTAGAAATTATTTGAAATTTTATTTTGAGCAAGATAATATCAAAAATGATGATGAAGTATTGTAAGATTTTTATGAAATTAGATTTC